TCAAGCACTTCGCCGCAAGCTCCATTATACGCTCTATGCTCCCTCGTGCGATATAATTGCATCAACCGTAAGGTAATGTCAGTAAGGTCGAATGTCCGGCATTTCTAAAATTAACAGCGATGCAATTTCTAAATGTGCATCAAAAAGAACATGCGCACACTTGTCTTTAATTATATCGAGCAAAGCTAAACTATGCTGAAGAAAATATAAAAGATGTATTTATATTTATGTATTATAGATATACATATATATATATATATATCTCAGATATTGACTTTCGCATTATTTACAAATGATGCACAAGCAGAAAGGAAAAGAGAGAGATACGCACGAGAATACTATCAATAATAATGATGATATTATAATACTTACATTTGCCTTCTTTTTCGAGACTGATGAGACCTTGTTGTTTGATATGCAATGGCTTTAGATCAGGGTTGGTAAAGACTAATGTTTTTTCTTTTTTTTTTAAGAATAAAACGTATTGTGTTTTTTCTTAAATATATTTTTAATGCTTCAAATATGCTTTAAACAGTATTATAAAAAAACATATTTAAAATATATTAAAAACATCAATTAAGCATGTTTTAAACTATTTAAAATGTTTTTTATCAACCCTGCTTTAGATACGGATTCGCACTATCGATTTTCCGGCTGCGTGATTCAACTTTCTAGGAATCAATGACGGCAATCGAATGCAATTTGTTCGGCTTCATGAGTAATTTAACGACAGAGATTCAACAAATCCTCTCTCGATTTCGGCATGTAAGGTCGCAGAGACAAATGACTACACGAGGTCCAATAAGAGTGGCTTATTAATTAAAGTCGACTAATTATATTAACGGACGAAGCGACAAACTTATAATTAGTGGATTGATCATGAATGCAAGTTTCCGTTACATTTCAGCTCAACCTATTACTTGGAAAACACATGTTACGTATGTTGTTATATCGATGAACATGAGTGCTTATCACAATATCGTTTCCTGTTTGAATACCGCTTCGGCAAACGCAACTATACCAGAAAAGACAACAAAATCGTATCCCATAGTTAATTTAAGATAAACTGTAATAAAAATTTTAATCTGAGACATTGCTATGGAAAAACATGCGTTCTTGCGAAATTTAAAAAGCTGTATAATAATAAATTTTCGATGTTCCTATTACAAAAAAAAAATTGACTTTAGAAGTTATAAAAAAAAGCTTAAGTATTTAAAATTCTCCATTCATTTCAGAATATTCTGCGAATGTCAATAAAGTTGAATTAAAAGCGTTCGTAAGGATATACAAAGAGAAATCGGTTTGATCGCGTGACACGAAGATAAATGATGGAAAAAAAAAAGAAAGATTGAAACCTTGTTATCTGCGGTTATGATTTTCGGTTGCTCGCCGTGCGTGTTTGTTTGATATAAGAGGCACTTTAATGAAGTGCGGCGCACCGGAAACCCCTTAATTTATCTCGAATTATTATGTGCGATTACTCGCAGCACTGACATACTGCCAGCTTTTCAACCAAATTACGAAACATACATATTTTACTTCCGCCTCGGATATACGATTTTGTAACATATATATCTTCCCTTCCTGCTGTTCCGATCACTGCTGTGCACGTACATACGTACGTGGATGAAAAATAAAACTGTAAGCTTCCCGCTACGAATTTTCACAAACTTCCACGACGATCCGAGCCCCGCTTTGCCGCACTTGTCGTTCGGATATTTTACTTCATGCGGCCTTCGATATTCATCGAAATTTTCGTGACTTCTCCATTCGCGTTCAAAATTTCCGCCCTTCAATTTGTCATCGTCGGATTATTTCTTTCAACTTACGTGCACTTTAACCATCGAAAGCACATAAATGCTGCAGTCGCCGCACGTTCGCATTAATAAAAATAGGCTTAGAAAATATGCTCGAGTCTATACCGAAGAGCGAGGGAAGGAGAATAAAATTGGAACAGAAATGATAAGAAAGGAAAGAATGAAAGAAGGCTTTCATATGCTGAGAACAGTATCATTTTGCATGCACGAACGTGACCGCGTCGTTAATGACTGCCATTTTCTTTCCGGAAATATCGTAGCCATGCATGGCAAACTGTTAATCAATTTATACTCAATAATACATTCACATCTTGCTATATGAGAACGTGAACGCCATTCTTACGCAATGACGCAGTCATATAATAATTTTTTCATGTTATTTGCTTTATCATTTTTTCTTTTGTGTGTGTGTGTGTGTGTGTGTGTGTGTGTGTGTGTGTGTGTGTGTGTGTGAGAGAGATAAATAGCGATCTTCTCATATATATGATATATATATATATATAGTGATCTCATAAACGTATAATAAATCCTTTACATATAACAGTAATATTAGGTCATATAATAATATATTTATCATATTTATACATTATTATCGTATATACCTCTCTTGTATATAACAGATCGTAGATAATAACGTTTAACGTAGCATATTTCAGGTCACGCAATTTTCAACCCATGGCATATTTACGAGAGAGAAGGTGACTGCGTGTCACGTAGCCGTTTTCTTTAGCGGTTGAGTCGTTCCCTTAGTCCTTGAATGGAATTCTCTTTTATTTGAAAATCAATCTATCTGCAAATGCAGAAAATTGCGAACAATCCAGCGTCGCCCCTTCATTTCGGCAACACATTTTCCTCGATCGTTGTGTCGTTGAGAGCAACCGTATACTTTTTTATTTACTATTATACGGTGAAACGTTAGAGTGAAACTTCCCTTCAGAGAGTCAACACATATAATTGAAACTTAATGAATGCTGTGTGAGAATACAATTGAATATTACTGGTATGTTTAAAAATATCGACGTTTACATTTGACATTATCATCTGTTTAATTACTGCAATGATTGCTACAGTTTAAGTACTGTTTAGTACTGGCGCAATAGTAGCAAACTACTGGCTAAGTACTAGATAACTTGAGCTCCATATTGGCAGATGGTACTAGTCCAGTCATTTTAGTCATTTATCAGTGATGACCCAGTACTGGTTGAACTTCAACCATCATTCATCGTCATTTAACAACCAGTGATGGCTCAGTACCGGTTGACAGAACTTTGGTCGTCAGTTGACAGTTGTAACGGTGGCTAAGCGTCGATTTTGTTGCAAGTGCTGACAATCCTATATGGGTTTCTGACTGTGCGATTGATTCGCTAAATATAATAACACAGATACATTTGGCGCAAACATTTGGGTCGCCCGGTCGATTAAGGAAGGGCAGTTTTCGGCAATAGATTCAGATTTGCCAAAGGCACACACAATGCGAGATATTCTGCGCATTACGAGAAACCGTCGACACCCGAAAGGAGAAGAAATATTCCGCGATAAAACAAGAAAAAAAATTTGTGCTAGAGTAGCGCAATAAATTCCGTAACTTATTGTTATGCACGAAATTGTCCATGCTCTCGTGGGGAAAGCGTAGTAAACGGAAACGTGCGCAGCAGAGTTTGAGGCTTCTCTTCCTTCTCCGTTTCTTTTCTTTCCTTTTTTTTTTTTCAAAATGTCCTACTTTCTAGGTAATATTTATAGCGATATAAAGCAGCGCACAAGTTTCGGAGCCAAATCGAGCACGAACTCGACTCTCGAACTGCTTTTTATCCAACTGTAACTTTTGCTCGCGACCGAACTGCCCTTCTATCGAGGAACCCTTTCTGAGTCCCTTTCTATTCTATTCCTCTGTTATCCTTTCTCCTTTCTTCTCTTTTTCAATATATACGTTCGCCTTTTCGCCTTGGCTCTTCACTGAATCTCACGGACCCGGGAAGAACATCGAGATGTTTGAACTTTCACGCCACGTAAGCGATCTGATATAAAAGTTTATTTGTAAACTCTCGGTCTCTCCTACCGAAAACCACTTTCAGCCATTCGGTATAATCCTTACATGGGTGTCACAATGAACGATCGGAGAATGAAATGTAGAGCTTAAGACACATCTCTGTATACAGAGTAATAAATTTGCGTTGAAGAGAGAGATGGGTGCTTATTTCAGGCGTTTCCCAAGCGCCTGATTTATCTAAGTAACTGGATATAAGGATATACGTCGTATTACGTCCCTCGGGAGAACAGGTGTTGAGAATAATTTCACCCCTGGCCGATTTTCTCGTTCCGGCAACCGCCCATTCTTTTTACGTTACACGAAAATGCAGTACGGAGAGACAATGCCAAATAGACGTTGAGCAAGAGAAGCTTCGGGGTAAGTTTACCGTGCCACGTTTTACGCGGTCTCTCCACACCTCGCAGAAATTGCATCTGCATCGAAGAGAGGCGAATAAATCCCTCGGAAATCTCATGTCTCTCGCAGCTGTAAGAAATTATTAAAATATTTCGGGCGAAGCTGCGCGCGTATTCCTGTTCGACATCTACCGGTAAAATCGCGTCAAACTCGGACGCAAGCTTAATCCGCCGTGAGATTTTACACGATCAATATACCATGTCCCTTGTCGAATTGTCGAGTGGCACGCCGTCATTTTTCACGTCCTGCAAAGCGACAGGCGCCTGAATGCAAATCGCTTTCGTCGCATTTACTATCCGTATCTCTTTGCGTTCGCGCCTTCCAGCGGTCTTATACACAGCGAGGAAAAAAAAGAAAAAAGAAAAAAGAAAAAAGAAACTGTCACCCGATAAGAATGTCGAGTCGTTGAGGCTTGTAAAATACGGTCGCTGATTGAGACCCGAACCTGTCGAGAGCCTCCTGAAAAGGATAGAATACTGCTTATTTTTCACTCTGTTAGATGATGTTACATTGTCCCTTACGCACTGCGGTTGTTTTTCCAGCAAATTTGAGGGGGGAGGGGGGAGGTATTATTATAGCGTAATGTCGTTCAAACACGAACATCTGAATAGCTCAATGATTAAAGCTATTCTTCCAGGAATTCATTATTCATCCAGCATATTTTATTGTATTACTAATTAAGCTAAATTATCATTAATATAATGAGAAAATTGATCAATTTTGTCTTTTATTTGTTATAGCATGATGTCTGTCTGGATGAAGTTTACCAGTATTGAACAACATGATCATCTTCGATGGACTTAGACATAAAATTTAGAATGTAAGTAATGCTTTATAAACAGTTTTCTTTTTTTAATTTTCTGAGAGTTGGGTAAGTTAATTAATAGTAGAATTAATTCTGTCAATGGAGTTATGAACTATCTCAAAAAACAAAAACATTTCCGAAAATTTTAAGACGACAGCAGAATCTTATCACAAATATACTTTATATACGCTTATATTATAAATATTTATGTTTCTCTAGTAAAAATAAATTTTGTATTTCTACAATTATTGTAATCGATAGATAGATTTTCAGTTCATTGGAGCGAATCCATTGACCTTGTTTGAATTTTTCTGTCTATTGAGACAACAGTCATTTCTAAATTAAATACGAGGAAAATGAAGTAATTCGTATGAATTAAGTTTCCAAAATACAATAAAAGATTTTATTATACATTGGAATGAAAACTGACTTTGAGTTTTTTAGAATGTCACATTTACAGATTTAATTACAAAAGATTTAATATGTGACATTTAAAAAAATATATTATTACAAGTAATAATAAGATTATTAAATAAATGTAAAAAAGAATGTTCATTCACAGAGCTATATATAGATAAAAAATCTGTATAGATTAACGTATGACTTTCAAATTTACACTCTCAGAAACCAAAATTATCAATTTCACTTTTGATCAATTTCTTATTTAATTTTAATATAATAACATATAATTATGCACCAGTTTCATGAAGTTTCTCTTCTTTTTATTTTATATAATTAATCATTTTGGCTTTTAATTAATAATGAATTCATATAATACAGTTGCTTGTATAATGCTATAATTGTCATTTTTCGATATGCTGCAGTAGCAAGTGTTTTAAAACGCAACCTTATCTTGTTGAATTCAGCTGTCGTCTTTTCACAACGATATCAGACAGCGATGTACGCTATCAACTCGCTTGATAAAGCAAACGAAAATGTGATTTTGGTACTCCACGGCTACGGGTAGTAAATCACGTATCGTGGTTGTCGATGTGCTTCCTCCGCTTTTGCCTAATCTAATCTACATGTTTGCTCAATATTCTCACGCACGCGTACCCTCTCGTCACATTTTCACCATTATTTCACGTGATTTTCCCGCCATCACAAAACTACGACGATTTTCAAAGGTGATAATACCTTTCATCCGCATCTAAGTTTGCCGTCGCAAATCCACTGCTCTATATTTCTTATGTTTCCGCATTTTCTCTCTGGAACTTATAAGAAGAAGTTTTTGCAGTTACTTTGCGCTTTATCGAAAGCAAGAATAGCGAAACGTCATTCCTCTCGACATGGAACTTTTTATTCTTTCACATTTCCGCGATCACGACAAGCCGATGCGACGCGACGCGCGTCGGTCGCATCGCATAGCAATCTCTAAAAACCTGAAGAGAAGTTTTAAGCTGTGCTTTCGCTGTCCTCAAACCCGACATGCTGCGGTCATTAATTTTTACAACTCTCACCGGCAAAGAAACGAAATTCAACGACTTTAATTCACTGTTTGCATAATGCCGCAACAGGATAAGCTGATAGAACTACAACGAATCTTTTGAAAAATAAATGCGAAATACGAACTTAATGCCTCAGGACTAAATTCAATTACTGTTACTCTCTTTTCCATCCTTTCCGCCGCGAGCAACGAGGACAACTTTTTGTCCTCCTATGAATTCTTTAAATGATACGGTAGAGTACGTGGGAGGTACAAGGTAAAATTTATATTGCGACACGAGCAGCAATGCGGGATGTAAACCACGTTTACATGCTGGTCTCGCTCTTGCTCGCTTCTAATCTAGTGGTGAGGAAAAAAGAGTTACACATGGAACATGTAAATATATTGAACAAATCTCACTAAACGGAAAAAGATTTTTCTTCTAAAGCCTACTACGGACAATCTATAATTCGTGATCAAATTTAGAATCGAATTCCATTTACAAATTTGCTTAATAACTTTTACTTTTGGTTTATCTCAAAATATTATTCTTTATAAAATGCTTTTATTATCTTTTTTGTTTAAAGTCCACTTTACACGATTTATATGATTTCTATAGAAAGCACACACATATATTAGTGATACATATTTTCTATATGTATATATTTTATTTGTTTCAATGTTTTTTATGTTACACGACACACAAAATTATAAATGGAATTCTGTTTCGAATCATTTTATAAAGAACAATAATATTTTGAGGTAAAAACAAAAGTAAAAGTTATTAAGTAAAAAGGTTGAATACAAAGTATATCTATAAGAAAACGAAGAACAAATGTCCATAAAGGTTTAATTGCTTAGAAAGAACATTAAAGTTAAAAACTTTACTCAAGTTACATAATCCATTAGAATAGTCTAACAGACATTAGAGTAACTCAACCTAACGGTATGCCACATTTAAATTACAATCCTTGAACGCGCAGTAAGTCGAAAGTATTTATTGTTATTTTGTCGGAAGGCTGCTATTTGATACAATCGAAATTGGATAAATAAAGATACGGTAAATCCTTTAAAACGACCTGAGTTAAAGCAGCGCACATATCGATGTAAGCTAACGTAAAATTTTTCCTCAATCTTCATTTAGTGAAAAGGAGCAACTTCAAAGATAAAGAGAGAAATATATTAACCCTTTTTATTTTTAAGAATATGATTATTACTTTATTGCACATCTATTTTAATTCTTAATAAATAATTTGCAGTATAAAGAAAATTCTATAGATTAAGTTATTCGATATTTATGAATCCTGGATATACCTTCCATTTTTCAAATATATCTCTTTTATAATGAATGTGTGCCATTAATGATAGCGGAATATGAAACAAAGATGTTTCTCTTTGCTATCTCAGTGATTTGCTAACTTACGGAAAGTTAATTCGCTACCTTCCATCTTTCCCAGTTCTAGCTTCTCCTCTAATTATTGCGCAGCAAACAAATTCGAATTACCCTAAATGACTACGAGCACTAATTCGAAGTTGGAACGTACACACTAAGATGGTTGAAAAGTTTAATTACGTTTGTCACAGTAGAAAATAGGTTGTTTAAGTAAAGACAAGAAGACGTCGATCATTGTTACACACTGCGTTGCGTTGTTAGTATGTAGTACCTTATGCTTACAACACTTATTACTACACTCTCTGCGTTAGTTTCGCTTGAAACAGGAGTTACCATTAATTTCAAGCCGGTTGTCTCGAATAAGGTGAATTTTTATCGTATAATTTCATTTAAGAAATAACCGAGATTAATCATTCGTTTGGCTTTATCGCACACCTGAATTAAGTATAGATACACGTTTACTTTTATTCAATAATTGCAGTTCGTGCGTGTTATCAATCGATTTGTAAATCAGCGGGAAAGGAAATGCGAAATATATTTCGGCTAGACTAATATCGCACATTTCTCAATCGAAAACGAAATTGCAACTCGTGTAAAATCACTCAGTTACCAAAATGAAAGCGAACGACAGAATTTATTACGCGACCCACATGGCCGACGCTTCGAGCATGTGATATGTTCGCCATCAATTTTGATTATTTTTTCAACGACGTGGAATGAAACGTTCCCCTATGTATGAAAATATAAATATATTTATTTATTTTTATAGAATTCAAAACATACAAAATGCAACAAAACGTACAAAATACAACAAATACTTTTGTGTATAAATTTTCCCTTGGTAAGAATTTTGTAAAAATTTTGCGAAACTATTTTAGTTATAGAGCCAATCAACACAACGCAACGGTTAAATAATATTTGCGAAGGAAGATCATCAGTTGTACGATTTTTTAAATGAGCTATACATCAGCGGATATCCAATTTCAAGTTTAACTGTCAAGATTGTACAGATCATAATCGCCTATTAAATCTTCGCTGGGGAAATCGATTTCAAATTCATCAAAAAATTTATGACCGAAGGAACGGTAAATCTGGGTCATTTCGTATATGCCACTTGAACGTGTAGGAAATGCACTCACGGCTTTGCAGTTCCCAGCTCTTTAAACGTTGTTAAATCCAGCAAAGGCAATCTTAATTGGAGCGACATTAAATGCTCCTCGTGTATAGGGCTGATGATTCAAATTATCTTTATTAATAAAAGCCCCACGATTTTGCATCTTCAATTCTCCACTATCCGTAACATACGCAGAATAATGACTTTCATTTTTCTCATGGCAAGAATCAGCAGCAGATGTAATTTGTCGAGATAATTGTCGGGGATTACCTGTCGATTAATCAATCGTGATTAATACGAACGGTCGGGCAATATTTATTTCTAGTGTAGATCTCGGTGTGTTCAGGGAGATGGAAAAAAAGTATGCCGAGGCAGACGGACGCCAAGCAGAGTTAGATTTAGAGTGCCAGTCATTCTTGCTTTCTCGTTTTTACGCACGATGCATGATGTTGTTCTATCGTGAGACTTGTCCCAGGTTGCTGCGAAGGCAGAAGGGAAAATGGCATACAATAGGGCTCGCGCATCGAGCTTCCTAAACGCGAACACGCGAATAGCCGTGCTGCGGTCCAATTGACACGCACAAAACCCATTTAATAGATGGTGGAAACGTCACTACGTCGGGATTAGTAACACGTGACGTATACACACGGTTGCTTCGCTGGGGAATTAAACTGATGAACATCTCTGTACATTATCCTGATCAAATAATCAGATTATCAGTTCTCGCTCAAGGTGATTATTAGGAAGACGTGAGTCTCTTCGGTAACATTTGAGATCTGTTGTATAATATGTCAAACAAAGCTTTTTTCACAATTGTCGTTTATGACGCGTCATAAATGTAATAAGAATAGATTTCACGTTCCTATGACGACATTGTTACTATCGGTTTAGAAAGAGTAATGTAGTTTCAATCATATTACTCCTTTTTTCTTCTAAAGAATTTGAAAAGAGATGGGGGTTAAAGAGAGATATGCTCAATTCTTTTTAATAAAGTGTAGAAGATCAATTATGTATCTTGAAACGAGTAAAAATTACAAAGATAAAACGAATTTAGAATATTTATAATTTCATTTATTAATACC